AAAATTAGCTTTTATTGTTTCAAGGATACTCCTTATCATAAAAACACATATTTAAAAATATTGTCTCATGTATATTCTTTAAAAATTACAAAAATCAGAATTAAATAAATGAAAATTTATATTATAATGATGTGTAATATATAAAAACAGTGATTGGTTATGTTTAGTGAATCATTCAATACGAAACGTGTTCTATTTGAGCGTATAAATATTTAAAACTTTTTGAAAATATTATTTTTATATAATTTGGTAAATTATACATGTTATTTCAAAAAAACTTTGTGAAATGTATTTTTTTCAATAAAAAACGGTTATGTCATTTATAAAAGAAAATAAAAACCTCGAAAATAATAATGGTAAAAGATATAAGATTTTGGAATAATAAGTGTAAGGAATGAAATGAATCACTTATTATAAGGATATATACTCACGTGTACAGTAAGATATATACATATATTATCGTGAAAATATAATATTGTAATTCGTTACACTCGTAGATGGAATAATTTACGTGAAATTAACATAACAATGTAACCATACGACTTGGTTGTATAAACGACTTAACGTAAATGTGTATATTTGAAAATTTGGCTGAAAAAGTAGAAAAAAAAATAATATTTTTTAACCAAGCACTGAGGTTTAATATAATTCAAAAACTTTTTATTTGGCTTTAGTCCAATCGATTATTGATTAGGTACGGTATATTATTTCGTGTGCTTATGTATATGTGACAACGCCAATGGAGGAAAACAGTTACGAAAAAATTATCACTAAAAGTGTTGTTTTCATAGCGAGGACGTTTTTGATTAAAAATGGACCAAGGTCTTTTCCGAAAACTGAAAGCTGTTTGCCATAGGTACATGTTTTAAGTGCTATAAAAATTATTTAATTAAAAAACGAATTTCCAACGCTTACCGTTTTGCAGTAAATCGTGGACGTTTTCAGAGTCATTAACAGCATTTATTGTAATAATTATTTAAAATTAGATATTTATCGAGTACAGAGTGTGATTGCTGTGTATAATATATTTACTTAATATATTTAACTTACACATGGACTCAAAAATTTAGAATCAAAATAACATAATAACATTGCATACCCAAAATACGCCAGCAAACTTAACTTCTAAAAGTCTCAAATTAATAATATATCATGATAAGCATGGTGGTATGCATATGTAATCCGACATTAATCTACTGTAAAGATGTTAATAACATTCGATAGAATTATAATAATATGTTACCAGCACGATTTATATTGTATGGCCTATAGTAAAGTTAAACTACCGTTTTAATACCCAATACACACAACAGACTCGCATAATAATATGAGTATTTTATTCAACAAATAAATATTAGCCGTTATTCAAACATATAGAAAATAGGGATTCGAAACTTAAAATTTAAAAATGTACATAAATAAAAATTAAATTAATAAATACCAACTATAAGTTACACATTGTACATACGTTTTTAAAGGTTATTATAAAATAAATATATTATTTATTTGAGTATAAGAATATTTAAAAATATAAAAAGTTTTCGAGTGTAATAATTATTTCCGAGAAATATACAAACGTCAGATGTTTCTGTCGTTTCTGGCGGTTCTGGCATTAATTATTTTACTGTAACTTCTTTTTCTCTCCTTTTATTTCCAAATAATTGTTTTATTCCGAAATTGTATAAATGTTTTAGACTAATACCTGTCTAAAGTTTGTTTTACCTCTGGTAACAAATATATTTTCGATTTTGGTGGCTAAAAATTCTTCTAAATGTTCACATACCTTATTGTAACGCTCTTAAATTTATTATTTTCACTATTTTTATTATAGTTGAATATTAAAATACAATAACATTATATTTATACAGTAGGGTTAAGGTAAATCTTCCCCAACCTTGCTGGAAATGTTTTAAATCATATATTTATTGATAAATTAAATCCATGTGTATAAAATATGAATACGATTATCGATAATACTATCAGATCTTTTCTTTAATCTATTACGTACTTTTTTCTCAAAAAAATATTGCTCCATTTTCAGGTCTATAATATATAAAATATAAGCATTTTATATTAAACATATTCAGAAACTTAAAACTATGTGAAAAAAAAATGTTCAACAAAAATACTGATTTACACTAAAGTGAATTCAAGGTATAAACCTTGATTGCAAAGATCATGAAAAAATTGTATCCACTAATATCAAATTTCTCTCTTATAGACAGAAAGCTTTTTTTTTTATTATTATTTGAAGTGTATACCCCCAGTATAACATAAATAACTCAGAAAATCCCAAAATTAGGTGAAATATTTGCAACTAACCCAAAATTTATCTATCGTAAGATTATGAACAATTATATTTATACAAGACACCTGTTTAGTTTATACCATAACGTCACAGTAGAGACATCTATATTTAAGAGAACAATGAGCGATAACTAAATATTTAAGCTCAATATTTACTTATTATAAAATATATAATTATTTTCATAAATATATTCTAAGAGGAACCGTAAGTTTTATACTTGCAATATCTTGTTTTCGTCTTATTAATGGACATAGATAACAAATGTTACGTTCAGAATATTTTATTTTACTCTGTTAATTTTAATTTTATAGAAAATTTATATATTATCATCAAATTTTCAAATACCTTCGAAACGTTTTTTTAATATTTTAATTTTTAAATACTGAAAATATTTCGAAATTTAAGAAAATAAACAATTTTAAAACGCTCATAACTTGTTTTTAAACTAAAATATCAAAAAATAAAAATAAATAAATAAAATAAATAGATAATGTTAAATAATGTTTATGCTTTTAAATTTAATATCAAGTGAAATAATAGTATAATATTAAAAACAATGATGTAAAACGAATTATCTAGAACTTAAAAGAAGATAAAATGTATTATGTTATACATTAGTTAGACAGTGATGATTAAGTCGTCTTAAAAGTTTATTTATGGATAGACAATTTTAAAGATATATGAAAACAATATAATATAATATACATTTATTCATATATAACCATTGTAATTACCCAACCTGTAACAATTATTTAAAATTCTATTGTTTGACGATTCAACGATAATATAGTGCGTGTTGCATGATACTATGGCACTTAAACAATTTTCAAGTGACACGTAAATATTTCAGTAAATCGATTTAAGTGAAATTATTTTTAATCGTATATAAGTTTTGATTTTATATAATACAAGATATTCGTATATTGTATCTTGTTTTTATTTCGTTTTTTGACAAAATATCTATACTTGGTTATTTTGAGCAACGCGATGAGAGCATATAATTTTGTCTACGATTATATACATTTGAGAAACTATTTAAAAAAAATACATTGTCGTGAAATATTACAAGTTTAAATTAATGATTGAATGACTGACATGATGCTCAAACATAATCAATGTAAATGTCTTTATATTTTGACACTGGGATACAAAGAGGTTCATCACCATGATACCTGATGTAATGTATTATTATTTATTAGATAAATGAAACCTAATAAAAAAAAACTTCCATATTATATTCATTTACCAAGTAGAGGAAAAAAACCATGGATTATATGGAAAGCATTAAATAGGTTAAAAACTGGAGTAGCTAAAACAAAAGCAAACATAATAAAATGGGGATATCAGAAGGAACCGAACACATTATGCGAATGTGGCGAAGACCAATCAGATGACCACTTATAACAGTGCACCCTAGTCACGCCAGGATGCATGACCGACGACTTAGCTTTAACCAACGAAAAAGCAAAATCAATTTGCCACTCACTAGCTAAAACAAAATATCTAAAGATTTATTTTATATCTTATATTCATATTTAAAGCTACTTATTTTTAGATTACTTTATGTAGTTAATTTAATAATGTAATAACATAAAGCCCCAACACTGGACACGATAAGAAGAAGATTGTGTCTACGTTAAATTTTTGGATGAAAAAATACCTCAATACTATGTGACCTTATAACAATCATATCATACAATAGAAATAAGAAATTTAAAAAAGCTCAACAATTTTAGCTATCTTGTTATAATATTAATATATTATTCTGTTGTAAAAAAAATGTCGTTAAGTTTATACTTTAGGTTAGATATCGTATTTGTTAAATAAATAATTAATATTATTGACGTATAGCGTTATTTACGTAAGCTCCTATTACGGTAATATTCACCTATTTTACTGATTTCGTATATCATATTATTATGTTAGTCCATAATATTTTACTACAATAATTCGCATAATAATATATAAATGTGTGTGTGTGTACCTATATAATCATATATTAATATTGACCTGTTCTCTGGCATTTCATTATTATTTTAATGGAGTAATCACTTTAACTGGTTATATCAAATTACGGGTTAAGTTTTTTTTTTTTTTTTTTTGAATAATAATAAATATTCGATACTATTCAAAGTATTTATTACAACATGAATTCTTTACAAAAAAATACAAAATATTTTTTTATTTTTTTTTTAACGACAGTCTATATTTTTCAGTTCTTAAATAGAAAAATAGAAGTTAAATATTGATATAAAAATATAAAATAATGAATAAATACGATTTATTTCTAAAAATTTAATTTAATAATGATTATTGATTATAATTGAAAAAACTTTTTCAAAAAATTAATTATTTCACACTAGGACTAGAGTAATATGTAAAATGTTTTGTTACCATTTCAAAAAAAAAGTTTAAAGTCGGTCAAGATTAAAAAAACGTAAAAATATAATAATGCTGCAATAAAAAAAAAAAAATAGATTTTAAAATTAGTAATAATAAATAAATCACCCTGTATAATAATATAACTTGAAGTACTCATATATAATACACCTACCTAAGTGCAATACGTGCGCTATAGGTCAAATAAACAAATAGGTATATATAATTTTATGTATTTTTCGTTATTTTTTATTTTTTTTTTTTTATTCTTCTGTTTAGACAAATGCCACTGCTAAATAAAGGTTTCACTAACCAATAGACGGTTCCGACGAGTTCCTGGTGCCGTCCGCCGATATCGATCGCGCCTGCCCCGGTGATAGACCATACAAATCGTTGTACTTGTCGTGCTGATTGGCATCGATTGATTTGGACCTGGACTTGGATCTGTTGAACCGGGTTCTCATAGCGCCAAAAAAATCACGTTTTTTCTTCCTGCTTCGGCCACGATCAGCTGTAAACACCAAAAAAACAACGTAACAATATTATTGTTTGAGTAGCAAATTCCAGTTATACACGAGTCGAAGACGTCTTAACAGCGTTATTCAAAGATAACTCACAAACTTTTGGAATTACAGATAATGAAGAATATACGAATTCAAAACTACAAAATAACTATGTCATATTATAGTTAGTTTTGAAAGAATTAATAACATAATAAATAAATAAATAATATGTTATAATTTTAGTTATGTATACTGAAAGCTGATATGATATTTATTTGTAGTTTTGTAGTAATAAGAAATCGATAATTGCTTTAATCGAATCTGAGTGATAACATTAGTTAGTTAAAAATAAATAATTATTTTACTGTTTTGAAAAATTATATTATATTTTTTTATTTAATCATAAGTGCGAATACGCTTCATGATAAGACAAAGTCCATCATTAAAGGTACCTACGTTGTAATATTTTTTTCAATTATTAATTTGAAAACTGTGTGTGAGTTAGGCATGACCAATACGCTTAACCTGTTTATCATTACTTCCTCAGATTCTGTATTAAGAATTTTCTAGAGCCATTTTTTTATTATTTGAATTTATTTAATTTAGTCTTGTGAGTTGAGAGTAACTGAATATCGCTTTTAGATTTTGGAGATAATTTTCAAGTTTGAAACGCTAATTTGATAATGACTTACACTTCTTGATAATGGATTTTCTTTTTCATTTTCTTGTACGTTATAATACGATATTAATACGTGACGAAACGTTTTTATTTTATTGAGCAAGGCCAATCGGAAATTAATGTAATTTAATTGTACATGACTCGTATACCAATAATTGAAACAAACCTAAGACAGCTAAGACATACATATTTTCTCAAAGTAATATAATACACGACAAGAAAACGAAAATAATACTTCAAATTCATAAATATTAAATATGCTATCATCTAATATACTATCATCGTGACGTTGACGGGACAAATATTTTGACGTAAATGTCTAATCATAACAGTCTAAAAACTTTGTCAGCCGTCAGGTGTTTTGTTTTTAATATTATTCTTATAATTCAAACAGTATTTCATATACCTTATAATATATTATTGTGTACCGTTGATTCATATCAAACGATTTGATTAGTATATTCACTGTATACCTCTTTAATAAGTTTACAGTTGATTTATTAAGCATACTCACCATCACATTAAATCTTGAGTAAAACGATAAATTTCGGGAGTATTTTTTATGTATTTTTTAATGGATTGAAATTAAAAATTTCCAATATTTTTCAAAATAATCAAGAAAAAAAACAAATTATTGCGTAAAATCAGTTTTTAACAAATTTGATTTTATAGTTTTTTTTAATTTAAACTCAAAAACCAATAACCATAGATCTTTGAAAGTTTCATCAAATGATTATATAAATAATATAACATGAAATATTCAATTAAAAAATATTAAATTTTTATCAAATAAAATTTTTTGATATGTTTCATGTCAGAATATTTTGATTCCTTTTGAGCTATTTACATAAATAAGTAATTTTCGATATTTTCTTTTCCAAATATTAAAACAATAACGATAAAAAAGTTTTCTTCGAGTTAAAAAACTTGAAAATATAATTAAAAGTTATTTAAAATGTTTTCAGTTTAAAATGTAATAATATAAACATACTATGGTATTAAATATATATTTTAATACAATAATTAAATATGAATAGTATAATAAATCTGACTATGTTTTCAGAAAAAAAAATAAATCGATCTGTCGTACCTTATACTTATTGTAAAATACTTAAATTAATTTAATAGCTATATTAAAAACAAATTATTAAATAAACTCAATGATACATCATTGAATTTAATTTACAAAGATTATAGTGACCCAATGCTTGTCTGCCTTTTTCTTTTAAAAATACATTTATATTTTATGTTTTTTATTAATTATGATTTCTAGAACTTTTACATAAACCTAAAAACCATATTTTAAAATTCTTGAGATTTTGTTTACTACTGAAAAGGAGTAAACTTTTGTGGTGATATATACTTCTTCATTTGAAATATATAAATTTGTAACTGAATAGGACACTCTTTAAGTAGTACAAATAATACAAAACATTTTAAAATATGGACTTTAAAAAAATAATTTATTTGAGTATTCAAATTTAGAATAACTGCGTTATTGAAACAAAAAGAAAGATACTTCCTTTAAGAAAGATATGTTGGTGAATCATTCTGTATACAAGGGGGTAGGTAGTATTCATTATCATTGACATCGTTAAATACCATTTTTTGTATACTCTGTTTTTATCGGAAGAAAACATTTCAAATAACCATTGTGGTCGTTTTTAATATTTATTTTTTGTTTAATCGTGATGGATATCGCATTCAGTCGTTTTATGCGATGACATGTCCTCCTTCAACAGTGGTTCTCTAAAACGTTATTAATCGTTAAATTCTTTTTTTTTTTTTATAATTATTACTAAGAGATAAAATTGCACAATTTCCGCAGTCAACAAATGTTTAATTAACAGTGATCCCGATTGTGTATTATTTTCTGTAACGAATATATTATTAATTGAAATTATTCGATTTTGAAGTCAACGTGTACATAATAATATTTCGTTATAAATTATAATATGTTTTCATTCGTTGCAATATCACGATAATTATTATTATTATTACTATCATTGAAATTATTGAAATATATTTTAAATTCAATAATAGTTATATCGAATGGCGTCCATGTAAAACGCGCATGATGAATATTGAAATAAATCCCGTGCGTTTTACTATAAATAATGTATAATACCGTTGCGTATAAAAGTTTCGAAGGATAAATTATTAATATTCTATCACTAAGTGATCTACCCGACTAATGAGCCAATTTCGAACATCATTTTTCAAAACTTCAATAGCACTAAATATGAAAATAAAACACAATAATATCCGAGGAACGGGTACGTTCGGAATGAAGGAGCTTAGTAAATTTTGACTGCATTCATCACGGGGCGTAATTTAATTATATTGTCTCTGTTTTATTCAAAGGATGCCAAGATAATTCTCTTAAAAATAATCGCTTTTAAACACCGTACTTATTTGGACAACGATCATTTGAATAAACGACAGAATGGATGGCATATTTTATCATAAGACGATATGATATTTATATTATTCCTAAATTGTACGCATGGTATAGTAATATAATGTTATGAAAATATTTTTGAAAAGATGCGATGTCTTCGATAACGCTAATGATCGGGTTTTCGCCGAGCAGCCCGAAAATTTTAAAATGTGTGCACTTGGCAAATATCGAAGAGGCATCAATAAAATAATATCGGGCATTTAATAATACGGGAATCCAAATATGTTATGGGTGATCTAGTAACGCATTTCCGTACTCGTACGAGAACATGTTAATTCGAGATTTTATCATGCGTTTTCTAGTTTCTATGCAAAAATACATTTTCTAAGGCATTAAATATTCTCACTTGGAATTACAAAGAATAATAAACCAAAAATCCTCCACCAATTTTCTTAGAAAGTGATTGTTTTGGAATATTTTAATATTCTTATATAAGGGCAATATTTTTGAATATTTGCATTTTTTACACACTAGTTAAGGAGTTTTATGTAAAAATTGATTATTTGATTTTTTTTTTTAATGAGAATCATTTTTTTATTGTAAATTATAAAATAAATCATTTATTTCGAAAACGTTTTTGTATCTAAATCAAACCAGTATTTTTTTAGCCATTAAAAAGTATATTCTAAGGATAATAAACCTTGAATATAGTTGTATATAAACTTTTTGAATTTTTGAATTATTGTAAATCTATTATCTTGAATACACAAATTTTATTAACTAAAATATTGTTCGTTCGGATTTTGATTTGGATATGACAACATTTTCAAAAACATCTATTAAAAAATGTATTGAAAAAATAGTGATTTTTGTTAGAAAATAATCTCGAACTTTTCAGTTGAATTCGAAGTCAACAAATTAATTAAATTGGGATTCGTATTACTGCGCGTATTTCTGGTATACTTTTCGATAAATAAAACTTTTCGAGATTAAACCATTTTGCGGAAAATAAAAGCATGTTTCGAATACACCAACCTTGAAATGTTATTATCCGTATACCTGTTATACATTTATAATCAAAATCTAATTTGTTTCGTTACAAAAACTTTTTTTCTTATTTATATCATATAATCGCGTTCGACGAGATCTTTTACATACAATTTAAATGTTAAAATATCTTGTGATAATTATTGCTAGATCTGAATAATAATAATATAAGATCTCAATGAACGAATTTAGTTCATACGAGTATATGGAATTTAATAATCATTACTATTACTATTACTTTATTTATTTTTCGTAATCCGGCAAAGTGTTTCGATTGGCAGGTTTTCAAACAGTTGTGTGTTACTATTTTGGCTTTGACCCAAATCCGTTAACCATGTGCTCCAAAATTGGTTTCAGAGAGAGTTTATATAAATGTACTTCAATATGTTGTGAGTTTTCTTTTTATTCTTTCAGGGTTGCCAACGTTTTAAAGGTTTCGCCTCCTCACAACGCTTCCCTACGATGCAGAAGAATAGAAGTTTATTCGGAAATAATGGATATTCATTAAAAATGCAATATCAATGGACATTAATTTATTTAATTTATTGTGGAAAAACATAATCTGATAATTGAAAATTTCATGTACGACGACTTATTAAAAAAAAAAAATCCTCATAGCACAATAATAACTATACATTTACCCATTTGTTTACACCATTAGTAATTATTTACATTCATTTTAATTTTATAGATATTTAAAAATATGTCTACTATCAAAAAACAGTGATATATTTAATATTTATTACTTTTTTATATTTGATTGCAAAATATTTTTTTGAACATGCCGCAAAATGTTGGTTCACTACTTCTTTTATCTAAAATTTAAATACTCACCTATAAGTTATAACTGATCATATGAAATTCAATTTTTATGACGTATTAAAATACGCCAAAAAATATTCTGATTTATAAATTAAATTAAATATGTATATTATGATTTAAAAAGTAAAAACTTAAAATCTATACAAAACTAAATATCTTTTTTTTAAATAATATTTTTAAATCGTATCAAATTTTCGGAAAAAATAAGATTTTTAATGATAACAAAAAAATCTTATACAATACTTCAAAAATTCTAAAACCAAAGTTTTTAAAATTTTTTTTTTTTTTTTGAATAAAAAATATCAAGAAATCAGGGGTAGGTGGTTAATTTATACATTCTAGTAGTATAAAGATAATATGATGTGTAGCGTATTAAATCAAAAGTTCGTTAGAATGAAGTTACTAATGTTGAGTCTAAAAATTTTATTCGTATTTACTATTTCATCACACTTTAATTTATTTTCGGATGAATAAAATACAACTGTAATAGTTAGTTTTCCTGCAAGATTTTATATTGATACGTGAAACATTTAACGAAATTTAAAAAAAAAATGTCACTATTAGCTATCTGTTGTAAAACACGCGTGATTCATTGTTATGTAATATTTCATAATTATTATTTACGTAATATAATATTATATTATATTACTCTATAATGTAACGTGCAAAGTATAATAAAATTACACATTTAGTGTATTTGCTATACTAGTTGGTTGAAATCGGGTTGGGTCGCGTTTTTACTAACAAATTCATTTCAACCCACTCAAATTTATCTATAAAAATAGAATTTAAGTATACAAACCTACAAACCTTACATCGTATACTGAGGATATGTTTACAATGGCAATCAGCGTGATATTACGCTTCTTGAAATATTACGTTTTACGATCAATTTAGGTATCATAACTGGCGTTTGAAAATGACATGAAATAGTAAATGTACTCATTTACAGAAAAAATGTATAGTGATCTCCATTGTTTTTTTTTATTATTATTAATTTTAGTATTATATTTTTATATTTATACACGAAATCGTTTGACTTAGCTTTAATCATGGTTATTGCCCAAAATTGAATTCAAAGTGCATTAATCATTGTATTTCAGAACTAAATAAGTACATAATTTGTTGTATGTAATAAATATTTCAAAAGTGAAATTTTCATTACGAATTATCTTAAAATATTTAAGTGGTTATATTTATTTTTAGTGCATGTATTAAAACATTGTAGTGTAATATATTTATTGAAAATTAGAAAATTCGAAACTTTATCTTTGAAATATTCGGTTTAATAAATTTTCAGTATTTTTCATCCTTAACAAATACCATTCATTTTATATCATTTTATATATGAATGTTATTATGTCTTTATCTATCTCCATCGATCATCAGATGTAATATTTTATCAGGATGGTTGAAGATACATCACGACCAAAATTATTTTCAGTATATTATTTATTTATTGTGCGTGTCTATTCTAATGTTTATAATTTTGAAATTATATTTTTATATTATTGTTTAGTTATAAGATAAAGAACGTGTTAAATATTCTAAACGTTAAACCAACGTATTTCTATTCTTGCATAATTGCGCATCTATAAAAAATTATTTTTTTTTTTATTTGAGCGTGTTATTACGTTGTAAAGGCGTTTGGTTATTTTTAAATCATTTTTTATAGTTATTAGTGCAATGAAAACATAATACCCATATTAGTATTTATTATTTATTTTTATGCTATTGATTTTTTTACAAATTAACTCTATTTATAAGAACACGATATAGAAACCATTTAATTCATGTTATTAAGGACTTTACAAGAACTTTAAAATATCTGTTGAGCATATAGGGTTCTGGCGTATCACCTAATATAAGGTAATCTTTAACAATGTGACTTATGGTTTCTAGTTTTGGCATTCAGCTTCACATAAATTACTCACTTTAATATTTTAAACTATTTTAATACTATATGAAACTCCAGAAAAAAACCAAACTTTTTTGCTTTCGATTTGATGTCTAAAAAATGAATATCTGTTTAATTGGTGAAAAATGTTTATAGTATTATATTTTGCCGATCAACCTTCTTAACAATCGATAAAAATAACTATTATCGTTTTTGATCACTTCACTGCCACTATTTTCATATGCATACGAGCGTGTGCGTGCGCGCAAATAAATCGATTTTTTTTTTATTCTTCTAACATACTTAATAATAATTGTTGTCCATTCAGTGGGAATCCACCAGCTGACATCTCACCTTCATGCATTCCATTGTAACCGACGTCATATTGTCTGTCGACGCTTATTCCCGTTTCGGACTCGCGCTTTTGTTGTAAACTGCTGTTATTATAGAAACCCATCCGACTCACCCCTCCGTCTTGTGCCATGTTCCTGTGGTCCGACGGCATTGCCTGTTCGAAAAGAAAAGTATATTATAAAAAAAAAAAAGATTTCAGCTTTTCCGTTGAAAATGTTTGGTAACGTTTTTCCTTCTTTTCACATCGCTTTACCGATTGATGGACAACAAACAACAACAATTATTGCAAATCAATGGAATTATGATTTCTAAAAAAAAAATTAAGTCGAATCTCCGTACTAAGTAGTCTTTGTTGTTGAACACCGTGTTGATGTTGTACGATATGTGTTTATTCTTGTTTTCTTCCTGTGCGTTCTTGCCTATTTGATTCGCACTACCAACAAACGGTTCTGATGTACCGTAGCACAAACAACCAAAAATAAATTTAAGGTAAATTATAATTTATATAAAACAAATTTTACACGTAAATCAATATTATACTACAAAGTGATTATTTCAAAGGCAATCTATTGTTCTAAAGGATCGGAATTTATTTTAAAAAATAATTTGAGATCGACAAAACGAATTTTGTAATTTTTAATATTTTATTTTCTTAATTTCAAATGTAATGATAAATAATTATCTACATGTTTTAAACTTAAAATTTTAGCAAATTGAAAATCTTAGAAAACTATTTTGCTTGGAATAAAAAATAAAAATATATTATGCTGTTATTCACAAAAAAAAAAAATAATAATAATAATAAAAATAATAACAATTGAAAAACAGAATTTTTTTTTCAAAAATTTCGTTTTTAATAAATTACATTTATAGAAATAATTATGTAAAAAATTTACTCTTAAGCACGCACAGTTTTCAAAACAATGAGCTTCATTTAAAATAATCACCTTGTATAAATTGCTGCACTACACGTTACTTTCTTTTTACCTTGCAAATAATGATCATTGTACATTGAAAGCCTTTCGCTTGTAAAATCTGTAGTTCCTTTTGATACCGTGTTCTGTTCTTCATCCTCAAGAAAAATGAACTGGAACCGTAGACAAATAATGTAGATATAATAATTTTATTGTATAAATCGTACGAGACAATCTGAGACATTCAACAGTGGTGGACTTAATATAGTATTATTATTATTCATGTATGAAGGATACAATATAAAAGCTCTCATACTTTCATATTTTTTCGTAGAAGAGGCAGATTTAAATTATTTTTGATACAAATGTATCTAAAAAGTTTCCTTCCTGTATAGTTGTAAGGAGTTAATCGTTTTTGGAATTAAAAAATTTGTTGTTTTTATTTTATACAATTTATTTCTTTTCGTATTTTATTAATCATTTGTAATTTTTTTTTTTTAAATAAATGACATTTTAGATTTTGAAAAATTTTCTTTGGATTAGTTCTAAAATTAAAATTATTCGTTACTGAGAATTATAATAAAATATAATAATTGATATATTTTAATTCGTATTTGATAAATAATATTGAAAATCTTGATCCATAAAATGTACACTCAATAAGCATACATAAAGTAATTTATGTTGAAGTAAATACTAGTGTTGCAAAAGTGAAACATAGTTATAATAAATTACATACAAATAAAATTAATATGTAACTAAGTTATAGCATATATATATTATATATATATACATAATTTTACGATAAAATTAAAGAAATATATATTCGTATAATATATATTTATAAACGTTAAAAAAAAAAAATTATTTCAACGGATTGTATTATTAATTTTGACACACATTAGAACATAGATTCTTAACCTTTTCTGGTCCATGGACCCTTTTGAAGTACAAAATATAATTACGGACCACCACAAAAAAAAAATTATTTATATAAATGCGAGCAAGACATTATTATTGTTATTTTAAAAACGCTATCGAAGCAAATTTATTTCTGGGTGGACTCCGAGTAACCATCTACAGACCCCTGGTTAAGGACCTGTGAATTAGAGTATCATAAATCAGTAAAATATCACAATTCAAAATATTTAAAATACTATAGATAACTCACTTCAAATTTAATTCATTAAATATACCCTTATGGCCTATATAAAACAAATAATTTCGTAACATTAAATTTTTATTTGATAGTAGTTTATTCAATTTAATATAAAAACTACTAAAATTATAAAGGTTAAGGGGACTATATTTCCATATATATATATATATTATATATATATATATATATATATCTTGTTTAATTAAAAAATTACGATACAATTTTCAAAATAATAGCTCTTTCGTGCACAAGATATTTTCGAAAAATATTCGTTATCGACATTTCTCGAAGTTTTATAAGAAAAATAAACACTTAACTATAAAAATCACAACATACAACGTATTGAATAAAAATATTACAAACGCTGCAACTATGAATTTTAACTAGCATAAAGTAATATTACCTGTTGTTATGTAAGCTAAGATGTTTTGATTTTTAGTTTAAGGGTTAAAGATTTTATTTATTTTACTAAATGCAAAACATGTATCATAGCTTTATTTATTTTACATCCTGTTTTATATGTCTATTATGAAAAAGTATGTTAAAACCAGGTCCATTTGTGAAAAGATTAAAAATTTTTTAAAATTATGAGCCTTGTTAATTACTACGATATGATATTTGATAGACTTCAAGTATACGGCCGGTTTATGATTAAGTGGTGAAGAAACAAACGTATTATTATAGGTACATATATGCATAAAGTAGCAATAATTTACAACTAATATAGACATAGATGAGGGACTGAAAATTCCTCTTTTATTATTCTCAAGATTGACTGATATAACCATAAAAAAAAAAAATTAAATGTTGATAAAACGTTGGACAACACCGTGCGAAACGTGAAATACGTTTAACAAGAATTAATAGAAATTTATCCGAAAATAAATTGATCTCATAAATTAATTTTATTTTTCACCTGTCTTCGCTACATTATTAATATATCCATTTATTTGCCTACACACACTCTTCCCACTCAAATTATTATAATATCTGCTGACGTTTAGACTACGACTAATGCTCATACGCGAAATGGTACTTTCGTAGATCAAACGAAACGCGTACGAAATGAACTTCGTCAGATTTTACTACCACTATATATAGTTATATATAGGTACTTTACACACTTATGCCACGAGAATACCATGGTTCACCGGAGAGTGACTGCATTAAGTGAAGTGCCGACATATATCTTTACATTTCAAAACGTTCAGTTTAATGCATATGATTATAATATGAGTCATCTTATTATAAATTATCTCTAAATTTCGTACGTTTTTGATGTAATTTGAGCGCAACAATAGACTTTTGAAACTCTGTATAGCATAATAATTATCCATTACAAACAAATCAAATCTAAATTCTAAATAAGGATCAGGCAATTTTCGGAAATACTATGGGAATAATATCCGACATTGAAATGGGAATATCAAAAAATACACAGCAATCTCATGACATATTTCTATAAAATACTCAAATTATAATTTGAAATATTATTACACAATTAACTTATAAGTGAAAAACAAAAAGTCAACATTTTCAAAAAAGTTTAAAGTTTAAATATTTATATTATACGTTGTATAATTAATATCAAAATAATAAAATAAACAATATATTAGTAACGTAAAAAAAAATAAAATGTATCATGATAGAGTATAGAAACTATAGTCAACTTAAGATTTTAGTATACAATATTTAGTCAAAACGAAAGACGATAAAAATAAATGATTAAGTAAATAATTATTGTCAACTATCTACGATGTGCTTATTAAAACGATGGTTATACTAAGCCGAATAAAATTTATTATTTAATTGTATAGTGGCACAATGCGTTACAGTGACTATCTAATTACTTTATCAGAACAGTTAATGTTTATAATATTGGAATAAATGGTGCAACTAGTTAAAATAAAAACAAGGTGAAAATTAATATATTCACCATAGTCAGAGCTATCGCTTAATTGTTTGTTTTTATACAAGTTTTATATCTTATTTCATGACTTAAAAACAAATCTTTGCTCACAATACCGTTGTTCCAAAATGATTCATCCGATTACGAACTGATATAGTTCGGCAACGGTTAATCGCAGGTTAATGACCAATGTATTAATGGAAAGATTAGATAACTAAGTTTATTTTAAGTTATCTAGTTGTTAAATTCGGCATCGTAATCGTTAGTGACGTAACTTAATTAGTTGTTATCGAAATGTCGACCGAGCAACAAAAAGCGTTTTGTGTGCTCCGCTTTGAGAAGTTTTTTTTTTTTTTTTTTTTTTTTTCTCTGGGGTTACATAAAAAGCATTATTATGTACCTCCCCTTCCAAAAGATCTTGACGAATTGAAAAGTCGCATTACAGGCGCCATCAACTTGGTTACAGTCGACATGCTTCAACAGGTTTATGAGGAATTTGAATATCGCTTAGATGTGTGTTGTGCAAGTAAGGGGGGTCACATTGAACATTTATAAGCATTGTACCTAAAACTTAAAATAATCCATCAAAATTTAAAATTAATTCTAACATGATTAATCAAATTTTACAATAAATATGATTTTTTTAAATCGGATGAATCATTTTGGAACACCCTGTATATATAAGAGTTCATCAAAAATGATACTATAACTTGTTTGAAAAAAATATTGTGATGGCAATTCTATAGTCATGATTTATCAAATCATATCATTTAGTTACAATTTTAAACCAGATAATTTGATATAACGTTAAAAATATGTCAATATAATAATAAAATCACTAACTTCAGAAAGGTGATAAGTCCACACATTCTAATTATTCATGAAAGATGAAAAACTAAATAACATAATATTATAGTAAATTGGAATTTGTGAACACTATATTTAGCGTTTGGAAAGTCGGATTAGACTCATATCTACAGTAAGCAATGTATTCACGCGTGCTTAATGTAAAATGATAATAAAATCAAATTTGATAAAAATAAACTTGTCGCCTTTTTGTAGTTAGCGATTCAATAACATACATTAGAGGGAACGTGAAATTAATGTACTTACAGAGTTAAATACAATAATTAAAGTATAGAAAATTATTTTTATTTTTTAAAAGTGTTATTAATTTATTGTATCTTTTCGTTATTATTAAAGATTGAAAGACTTTTACTATTGGCGTATTTTGGAGAAAAAAATTATCTATCACTCCAATTTCCACAAACATTTCAGAAATATTTTTATTTTTTCTTATAGTTTATGTTTCTTGATTATAATTTACGAAATTTTATTGAATACCTATGGTATTATATGTATATCAACTTGCATAATTTATGTGTTGTTGAATAAACTAAAAGATTTACTTTCACGACAAACAGAATGATAATTAAAAATAATGTTGTTAAACTTCAAATTAAATTCTTCGCGATAGAGGAATCGGAAAGGGGATAAAATTGTATTTGATTACAATCAAGATATGGTTCATAATAATAAATCCAATAGAAATTTCTAAAAAATGATTCATATGGCACTCAGCGCAATTTCAACATTGGGAATTCCAACAATAATATAAAATTGTAGTTTTAATGACTAATAAATATAAAATATAAAAATCAGAATAATGAAAATGTTGGTCTATCGGGCTATAAATTATTTTAAACTTATCATGGTTAAATAAATACCTAAGCGTAAAATATTATATGTGATGTTTTAGAAAACAAGATTAAGTAGAATAAATGAAATATTTATTGTAATTATTCTTTGTTAATGAAGAAATATTATTATTATATCTATCAGTGATGAAGTCAGAAAAATATTTTGGTTGTTGAATGACACCCAACATTATTTAAAAGAATATATTATCTTAAAGTTGTATTAAATATTTTATACATTAATAATATGACGAATATATGGCTATACACCTGATACCTAAGAATTGTCTGATTTAACAATGTATATTATAAATATACCTTCTATTATAAAATTGATATATGACGGTAATGCTGATAAATACTTTAACCATAACATTATATACCACTGAAAATGATAGATATAAATAT